TTTGTAATTTCAGGATTATTTCCTAAATCAGAAAAAGCAGGCTATTTGGCAATCTCGAGCTGATGAAGACATACCTATTCCCTCGACTTTTAATTGAGGAGTTTGATTCTTTGCCCAGTGTTTGTTATCATTAGAGAAAGTATTTTATCTACAAAAAGCTCTCTTGACCTCGGTGTAGTAAATGGGTTATTGGTATAGAAAAATTATAGAGTACAAGAATAACATAAATGCTAAAACCTAGGGAAAGAACACTTGAGTATGATTAATTCTATGTTTGACATGTGTGTTTGACATGTGTGCTGTTTAAGAACCAACTTTATATGTTTTGTGAGTATTAGTTTTGATATTATGAGTGTTGTATTGGCACCTCCGTATTACATCATACCCACAATGTATCATTGTATTTTGAATTGATCCCAAAATAGAGATCTATCGTGATCCTATTACCCCACAAAATAGTTTCAAACAGTCCTTGTAAATGTCTAGAGTAAGTGATCCTTTGGGCCTTTCTGGAGCAACTTTATGGTCCCTGTGCTCTTCTGTTAGTTTCAGCCTACTGGTATACTATATTTCATTGCATTGTTCGTAGTTGGTTTTCTACACCAAAGAAACATTTTCAGCCACAGTATTTGTTATGAATACATAAAAACACGGGTGAGCCCCTAAAACATAACATTTTTGCACTTTGGGTAACAAGTTTTGAAAATCAGTTGATGTCATCGATTCTAGTATTAAATTCTACTTTATAGGAAGCTGCATTATAAGAAAGGTTATTCACACCACTTCCCTTGTAGAGCCGTATGTGTACCTAACTGTAAATGTGATGCAGTCTTCTTGACTGGATAATAAAAATAATTTCCTTGTGCTGAGAAATAATGGAGTAAAAATTGCTTTGACTTCTGGCCTCCGCAGCACGAATTATGCAGAATCATAATACTGCTCCTAAGTTGCTATGGTATTTGTTCTCCTCCTCGCATCTCTCTCTCTCTCTTTATCTCTCTCTCTCTCTCTCTCTATCTCTCTCTCTTTCTATCTCTCTCTCTTTCTATCTCTCTCTCTCTTTTCTCTTCTCTATCTCTCTTTTCTCTTCTGTATCTTTTCTCTTCTCTATTTCTCTTTTCTCTTCCCTATCTCTCTTTTCTCTTCTCTATCTCTCTTTTCTCTTATATATCTCTCTTTTCTCTTCTCTTTCTCTCTTCCCTATCTCTCTTTTCTCTTCCCTATCCTTGCTCAGTGTGCATCCGTTCATTATGCTGTAATTTGAGCTGTGTTGCAATAGAAAAGATATGTCATTGACGCATGCTTGATCGTGGCGGGGAGCGTACGTGTGCTTAGAGATAGACACCTGAGGCACTTTCGTCATCAGTGGGTATAGCCTTGATCATGCGGAATTAGAGGGTGGGGGAACATTTGATTTAATATCAAGATGGTGATATGTACTTGACTATCCATCCTTTTAATCCATATTGAAGGTTATAAAGACAAAGATACATGAAGGAACTGTCTATCTTGACTTAGATCTGTTTTGACTGTCTCTTTACTTAAAGTGAACCGGTAACATTAATGAAGGTTAAAGAAAAAACTGCGTAGCATTGAAGCCACTACCTTTGCAACATTTTTCTCTCATCTGAACAAAGTTAACAATTCTTCTGTTGTATTTTTATGTTGTCAGTGAAATGAAATAAGTTAATGAAAACATTAGAATATCATCGCGGTACAATTTTACTTTTCTAAAAACATGTTGAAAAATCAGTCCAAAGGAGGAAAAGAAGTATCGTCTTCTTTTTGCATGGCTGATCATCAACTAAACGGAGTTAAGTCTTTTGTCAACTCTGTTTGTTGCTACGACAGGCAACCAGTGAAAATGAATTTGTTTAATCAAATAATGGAAATGCAAGCATTACTTTAAACAAACAGAAATTTGGTATTCGTGGCTCATTTTTTCCTGATTGAGGTTTAAGGCTGTGCACAACAGTGTAATGAGGTACCCGAGTACACTCTCATGCTTACAAGCGAATACTCCAGTATTCGGACGCCATGTTTTTTTTATTTTTAAAATTTTTTTTTGAATTTTTTGATTTTTGATTTTTGATTTTTTTTGTTTTTTTTTGTTGTTGCCACCACCATACATACCACTGGAGCAGTATCCCAGTTCTGTCGCCGAAAACGCATGCAATTTTACTTTGAGTTGCAGTTGAAGGCGCCGATTTAATAATAATAATAACAGTGAACAATGCTGTTTTAAAAACCAAAGATGGCAGAATAATCCATTTTCCTCCAAGTCCAAGCAGAAATCCAGACATTTGGTCCCAGTTTCTGAGTGGTGAGTTTGACAGTGCTTGAGTTGGGAAACATTTTTACCGACGGCACCATGCCAGCGGCCACCGCTCACCCAGGCACGGGTAAGCGTCGGCCTGGACATTTTTTTTTTTTTTTAAATTTTTTAAATTTTAAATTTTTTAAATTTTTTTATATTTATTTATTTATTTTTTTTGCGGCCGAATATTCGGGTACGAGAAATCGTACCCGAGTAGTTGTCAACCGTGCGGGTACTCGAGCATTCGACTACCCTTCACAGCCTTATTGAGGTTTCATATGAAAGAGCAGAAAATGAACTTTCAAGAAATATGATTTTCTCTTTGAAATTCAGATACCGTCCATCAAATGACTTTTTGGTACCCTCTCTTTAAATTGTTTTTAATCACTCATGCGTGAAATATGCACCATATGATTTGCATCAAATGAAAGAGGAGGATCGTAGCTTTACAAATATGTGTCATTTATTGATCGAAATTGTGATTAAGTTATGATATAAAACATTGATAATTCTTGGTTTCATTATTTTTTTGGTACGCACTGTATATTGTCTGCCTGCTTTTTTGTCAAGGTTAAAACTAGAGCATCTCTGTGATCTCGGGACTGCATACTATGCCCCTCGACTTTGTCTTGGGTCAAAGTTCAGTTTAGAGATCACCTTTTGTAATAGTTTTAATTGTGCCCCTCAAAGCAGTCAACATTTGTATACTACTTACCAATCAAAGATTTCCAAGAAAATCTGCTAATTAGAAATTATCAATTAGAAAGGTATTAAGTTCACTTAATATTTAATAATGAACTACATTTTTGGCTGGTGAAAAAGGAGTGGGCTCAAATTTACCAGTTATCTTTGCTTTTTCCATGATGATGTAGTATTATATATTATGTAATATAGTGAATATTGAAGTACCATTTACAGAATTCACAAAAATGCAGTTCTCTTTGTTGATGGGTTGATCCCTGTGTGTGTGTGGAGTTTTGGTATGCCCAATCTGGCACATACATGTTCATTTATGATACAACTTACAAGTTCTACAATTTGGTGACATGCATGTATCTACCACTTTCATCTATGTTTCTTATTGTCTTCATGTGGATTGTTTCATTTCGTGACCAGTATTGGATCATTGTAATTAGAAAAGGACACTTATTGCATCTTTGACTGATGCGATTCAAACCACTCAGTCCCCATTTCAAAGTCCGTCTTTCACTGAAAGTTGCATCCCCACGTATATATATCCGTGTATGCCTGCGCGGTATATGTTTTACGTGTTGAACATACTAGTTGAAAGTGAGAAGCGTGTCTTCTTGTCATCATAGACACCATATCTCCACACAAAAGACCCCAATGAGAACCCGTCGAGCTTCATCATGGGATTATTCACGCCAGTATTGATTTGAAAGAGGGGATGCTCGGCGAACGCGAGTGGGAAGAGGAGGAAAAAGCCGAGGAGGTGAAAGTGAAGAGAAATGAACGATGGAGCATGGTGAATGAGATTGATGGGAGATCGTGCGCAAAAAGTAGGACGCTTGAAAAACGAGTTGATCAAGCTATTACTCAGTATGCTCCCTCTCCTTCAAGTGCATGTATGTGTAAGCATGTATGTGAAACAGTGGATAAGCATAGTAAATAATGTAGAGGCAAGAGTCTTTATAAGGCTCTTTCTGTACACATTTTTTTTTTATTTCCAAAAGACACACACTGCAGAAAGCAATTTCAGACCATTTTATTTCTTGCTTATTTGTATACCTGTGTGATATTTAGACACTGTCTATAATTCTGTATGATTATATGCTCTTGTAAGAGTATTCATTTTAACATAATTATTTAATTTTGATATTGTCGTAAAGGTATTTGAGAATTGTATGCTAATTGATGTACAAGGGAATGCATTTGTACATGTATCTCAAATTCTCATTATTTGTCTTTTATGTATTGATATGAGTTTTTATGAGTGTCTTAAGATATATGATTCAGTCAGGTTTTATAAGCTGATCTGAAAGATCTAAGGTAGATATCAACTTGGTGGTAAAAATAGATTTATGGCCATGAGAAAAGTAGTAATATCAAGATAAATAATATAAAATTATAAACAATGTCTGCCTAGAGTCAATATAAACTACAGTACTTTGAATCCAGCCTGCATACATTACTTGTTGCTATGTCAGGCAAGTCTAAGACAAATTTTCAGCATGTCAAGAACAACCTTTGTTTAAAAAGTATGCATAAAATTTAGAAATGTTAGTGAACTGGGGAGTGTTTCACATAGACTAAGATTGACTTAAAGTTGGACTTAACTATATAGCAGGCCATTAATGCCACTAGCTTTCACCATTTACTATTTGTCTCTCAAGGGATGTACAAATCATGGTCACAAATCTACAGAATTTACATTTTTTGATAGTTCATTATTGAAGGCAAAAATATTATCTAAAGATCATAATTGAAAAACCAATGGTAAGAGCAACCAGTGGCAACAATGGCCTGCCATAGTTAGGTCCAACTTCAAGTCGATCTTAGTCTTTGTGAAGCACTCCCCAAGTCTATTGGATAACAAGACAGCTGCAATTTACTAAAGAGCCTGCATTAAAATGCATTCCAAAATATCACACCTGACATACATTGTCATATCAATGTCGCAGGACGTGAGTTAATGGTCTATCCACACGTTATCTTTGTCCAGGATCAGAGGGCTGCAACGATCCTGCATCTGATCATCCACACCGGCCTCTGGACACCAGGATCCCTCCCCCGTGCCCTGGGCCCCTAATGGGTGCACAGAGTGGAGTGATCATTGTCAATTACACACCGGAGACCACTAGCTAGGTAGGGCAAGGCGGGACCGTCGTACTCCCTACGGTAAGTGGATTTATCGGATTGTCATATTGTCGTTTATTGATCATATCTCCACACCACTCATCAGATCCTTGTAGTGAGTGACTGATGATGCAGTATTCATCATGGAGAGTATAGTAAGGTATCATTAAGATATCTCTTAAGTGCCCCTACTTTAATAAGCGTTATTGTCCCTTGTCTTTATTTAAGGGAACCACTTGTAATTGCTTTTGCTTTAGTTTTTAAGGTTCCATGCCTCAATTCAATTAAATTCATTTCATTTTATTTCCAATTCTCGCAAAAAATACATTTAACAATTATACATTATACATATAAGCAAATATATAAACAATACAAAGAATATGGAGGAGCCAGCAGAGGCCATTGGCCTCCATGGTGTTTTTCAACTTTACATAGACTGCATACATCTAAAGTTTTAGTAATTCAATTACACTTCAAATAAATCACTACAACATTTTTTTTCCTCAATGTGTCTGAGGTTTCATGCAGAAATTTTAATGTAACTCCTGAAAAGAGGTATGAACACCCAACAAATGCACACTGAATATGGGCAAAACACCTTATGATTAAATCAAACGATAAAACGATAACAAATTCCTATCATATTTTGATGATTTTAAAATGCAGGCCTTTTGTTGACAATAAAACTGATTGGTAATACCAGGTATTGTGCATTCCTTTGTCAAATTTTCCATTCAAGTTTTTCTAATTAGAATAGCATGTACTATGATGATTAAAGATTGTACTTGTGTAGGCCGTGCTAATTCAGAATTAAACAGCCATTTGAATTATGGATTACCAGGGGAGGGAGGGGGGGGGGGGCGGTGGTTGTATTAATGGATGGTTGGAGAAGTACAAAAATCATATTTTGCCCTGATCAATCTCTCCAGGTCTTTTAAAATCTGTTGGTTGAATGGAACATAAAATTGTGCATTAATTGCCAAGTACTGGAGTAGACGGCATCATCCTCTACTTGTCTTTTTGATTAGTACGAGAGCCTTGAATTTCATCAGGCTATTTAACAAAGGCACCATAGAGAAGTTGCATTATGGATGAGAATAGCTTGGGAGGCAGGATTAACAATCAGTTCAATGGAGCGCATAGAGCTTGCAAAAAAAAAAACATCACAGGAGTAAGATCTGGTGGGGATGTGCAATTTGAGTTGTGATTGAGAGGGTTGGCCGCATCAGAGAGAGAGTGCCAGGAGAGAGAGAAAGAAAGAGCTTGGATTCTCTGCGGTTTCGCTTCTCGCTGATTGTAAGTATGAGGATGATATTTTGTGGATGGGAAGAGCACATTTCCAAGTGGATGCTATGTCGCCTGAAGTGTATCCTGTTACAGATGCAAGAGTATTGAGCATTAATTTGATATTTGCAGATCTATGGAAGAAGAATGGATAATGCACGTCGTCATAGTCTAACGATGATTATTTCCCCGCCTGCAAATTTTGAAAGCAAGTACCTGTATGGCTGGATGATAGAGGATGGTATCTGTGGTATTTGGTTGTACAGGTGTATGTTGTTTAAAAGCATTATTCATATTTCACTTAAAGCCCATCTGTACTAGTGTACAGGAGGGATTAGAACACCCTGTAAGGTCACTGGACAGGTGGTTATCTCATCAAATCAGCTCTCAATTACCATAAGAAAAAGAGGATCATGGGGGGCTGGTGGTCACCGATAAGGCATTGTTTGTTATATAGAGGGCGCAAGTAGCTTTAAGTAGTGCGTTGGGCCTTTAAAGAATGAATTCTACTACGTATGAGTCATGCGTAGAGTCTTGTCTTGTCTTGACGTTGGTATGTCAGAAGCATTCTTTTAAGACTTCTTTGTATATTGAATGTTATCCATTCCATTGACAGCATATATGTTTAAGTTGGATTTTAAGCAGACAAGAGCACAGAACACGATTGCAACTACTTTCGAAACATTGACCTTGAGTTCATTTTGTAAATTAGCTGCGATCTTCTTTATCACAGATACATTGTCGCATTTCATTATCTCTCCATCTCTATGACTCCGTCTCTATCTTCATCTTCTATCTGTCTTTGGCTTCCTTTCTCTGCCTGTAGATATTTCTCTTTGATATCTCTCTTTCTTTCTGTAGGTGTCTTTTTCTATTCTACCTCCTCTCTCTCTCCATCTCTTTGACTCTGTCTCTATCTTCATCTTCTATCTGTCTTTGACTTTCTTTCTCTGTCTGTAGATATCTCTCTTTCTATATGTAGGTGTCTTTTTCTCTTCTTCCTCCTCTCTCTCGCTCCATCTCTTTGACTCTGTCTGTGTCTTCATCTTCTATCTCTCTTTGACTTTCTTTCTCTGTCTGTAGATATCTCTCTTTCTATCTGTAGGTGTCTTTTTCTCTTCTTCCTCCTCTCTCTCGCTCCATCTCTTTGACTCTGTCTGTGTCTTCATCTTCTATCTCTCTTTGACTTTCTTTCTCTGTCTGTAGATATCTCTCTTTCTATCTTGAGGTGTCCTGTTATCTTCTTCCTCCTCCCTCTCTCCTTCTCTCACTATCACTCTTGCAAGCAACAGGTATAACTTTTTATTTGAAAAGGTAGGGAAGGAGCGCTATTGGAAAGTAAATACTTTTGATTATCAATTAGGGCTCTTAAGGAGGTCCTTAGCTTTTTAGTCCTGTCTATATTTAAACGAGAGGGGGTGTTCTTTTAGAAAAAGTGTCTTTGAGTAAGCAGCAGGAACTAGAAGTGATTTGGATTTTAAGGTATAGTTTCGCATGATTACAAGCAGAGAATTAAATACACAGCGAGAATCTACGTCACAGGTGGCAAAAATAACCTTGAATTGCTTTTTGACAAAAGCTCTAATGAGTCTCGTAAACTTTTCCTGCTGTGTGCTTGTGGCAAATGAAATGTCATGTGATACAATTACTCAGATTAGTTCTCTGTAGCTTGTAAATCACTCCAGTATATTAACAAACATATTTAGAACATTACTGATTATGCATTTGTATTAGAAAAGAAAATTTAATCCAACAAATTTAGAGGGTGGTTGGTCGTTACATGACATTTGTGCCTTTGAGGAGTGGGTTTCTCTAATTGTGTGCATGGTTACAGCGACTTGGCAATCTGACGTGGTTAGCTATCATAAAGCGTGATTATCTCTCTGGGTATTGAGAGCATTGTTACCATGGTAACAGCAAATAAATCAATGACATCTGGCTTGTTACTTCTGAGCTGCAGTGAGTAGAAGTGTCCGAGAGGAATTTGGTTCCTTAGCGAGAAGACGAGGCAGACAATAGGCAGCATAAGAAGGAGGCAAATATTGAACCTGGGTTTCCGTGGTGAGAGGAGTGTTTTCTGTTTAATTTACCACAATTTAGGAGTGACATTATTTGATAGAGTTGGTTGAAAGAGCGTTTATGTTCTTTCAAGTGCCATTTTTCATTGATTTATTTTTGCTCAGTAATATATAACATATATGTAATATGAGAAATATAATATTGCTGATATTACGATTTTATATACAATGTCAGGGAGATGTTTCACAAAGATCCTAAGTTGAACTTGGCTTTAAGTTGGATTTAACATTATGGAAAGCCATTTTTATAGCATCTTTGAAAAAATTTGTAAAAGTTATTTTAATTAAAAGGCATAAAATGTTGATTCAAATCATTCATATTTTCTATTATCAAGGAGAATTTTAATGTTTTTGATGTGGAATTCAGGAAATGTCTGAAATACTTGAATTTTTGCTTTTGAATGTATTTAAAGAATTGCTGTCCATAATGTTTAAGCCCAATTTAGAGTTAAGTTCGACTTAGGATATTAGTGAAACACCCCCCTGTTCACTTCAAAGGTGCTTTGTAAAATATTCCCTGTTTTAAACCAGATTTAGCTCCTGCAACAGTTATCATCACAGAGTGTATCCAAGAAACAAACCCTTTATCTTATGCACATATTGAGAGTGGAAATAAATAATATGGATATTTATATAGCACTGGTATCCACCAGCCTCTGACGCTCATGGCGCTGTACACATATTACCCTGGTTGTAGCCAAGCTGCCAAAGTAACTAGCGCTCAAGCATATCAGGTACCCATTTATACCTGCGTGGAGAGTGGCAAATGTAGATTAATGTCTTGCCACGGCGGGACTTGAACCTCGTACCTTGTGATATGCAGTCGGGTGACTTATCCACTAGACCACATCACCTCTACAATGTAGGAGGACATCTTGTTTAAGATTATTAGTGCTATGTAGGGGCTTGAACCCATGACCCTTGCATATGTTGTCAATATTTAAACCACTTGATTCTGAAATAAATATACCTCTTCATACATAAACACTGTGCCATAAGAAGAATATCTTTTCCCTAAAAGGTAATACAAAGTTTTGATGTGGGTCATGAATTTGGTTCAAATGAACATATTGGAAGCATACATATGCAATCCTACAATATTGATTGATCGTTGTCACGGTTGAAATCAGGGCTAAAGTGATGAAATTGTAAATAATAAACTCTTTATGTTGTATAGCTCCCAATCAAGATTGATATTACTTTAGCTTCAAAATGATGTTTTTTGACTAAAATCGACTGATTTTCTATTCCCGTTTTGAAATTATATATCAGAACTGGGTATTCCGAGATTTTCATGATCGCAGCTACCATTGTATGGCCGTAAGCGCTATTTGCAATTTATCGGGAGCACCGATAAATTAGATAAAATTCGATATTTTAATTTCTCGAAATCCTTAGCGTTTTAGAGCCCAAGTTTTTAAAAGTTGCTTAGTCTTAACACTAGGTTTCACAGTGGTAATGCAAATTTTAAATTTCATAATTCAATCCATTAGAAATATTACCTTTAACTTTTAGTATTTTTTGTGTGCTTTTGTTTGATATTGCTTGATTTCATAATGTCATCAGAACACATTTCTAAATACAACCTACCTTCAGATTACATAGATTTGACTAGGGAAACGCTTCAATTTACAACTAATACAAGTGTAAACAAGGTCTGTATTAAAAACCAGATTGAGCCAGTTTCAGAGAATATCTAGAACCAATGTTGACGAGAACTTGTTGAATTTTTAAACAATAGGGCTGAAATATCGGAAGTTTGGCTGATCTTATTGTCATGGCCTTTGACCCAATAGATCCTGTGCCTGTCAATCAGATATGATTGAATGGTGTAATATCCTTGAACTCCGAAGGGGGGGGGGGGGGGGGTACAATGTATTGCATCAAGAAAAATCAAAAGTGATAAGAAAAAGTTGTGCAATGATCAACAATCTGCACAATGCACATGTACATGACTACAA